CCTATCCATGGATCTGTATAAATCCTGTTTAAGTGTTCCCTAACTCTTAAACTAAAATGCATTACATCGTGTTTCTCTATAAATTAAGTACAATATTCTGTAAACGTATACTCTATAACTAGCTATTTTTAAAATATTACAACTGTCAATTTGTCCCTTTAATTGTATCATAACAAATAATAGAAGTCATAATAACGCTATGTGCAGATAATTTTCAAAACCACTTGATTAATCCGGTATGACATTATTTAATACAGTTTAGGATTTTCCACCATACCTAGCCAGGAAATAAAAAATATATTCAAATTATTTGACCAATTTTTACTTTCCCTTTAAGTTGTTTTTTAGAAAACTGTAAATAATTTGGTTCAGACACTAGCTGTCAAGTCGCATTAGTTTAATTTAAGGATTAAAAGTCGCTTAAAAACGAAATGCATTGAAATTTGTACATGCAAATATCTCGATGACCAAGACAGATATCGGACGTTCTTTCATATTTTCAACGCACAATGTCTGCAATTCTCCTATCTATCAAAGGAATACGACATAACTGACGCCTTATACAAGCAACGTCAAAATTAGTTAAAAATTCGTATTTGTCATGTCAAAAAACACAATAGTGCTAATTTTTTTGTTCATACTCTGAAAGTTTTCAAAATTATTGACAAATTTCAAAATAAAATTCAACCATTGAACGCCCTGTACCTTTGAAACCAGCAACATTTGAATAAGGCATACTTGGCTCTATTGACTTATTTTGGCTATCAGTTTCTTCAGCTTCGAGATTTCCCAACCTTTCGCAGACACCCTGTATATTAAGTTGTAGTTAGGTCAAATATGAATGAAAATTAAATTCAGAAAGTTATTTCTATTTCTGTTATTATTACAACCATTATTAATTAAAAAAATGTGTTCATTCTTGGAATTTCTACTATAAATTTTGATGTGATATCAATTTAGTTTACACATATTAAATCCCTATTTGTTATGCGAATTACTTTGATTTACCTAAAAACAGATACCTATAGTTGGTAACATGTCGTTTACATTGTTACTGTACCTAAATATAACTGTGTGATATTGTTAAAAAAAATATTTAATTCTAAACAAATATATGCTACTGATAATGTAAAAATGTTAACTAAGTGTTCCATCTGACAAATAGTAGAGTCTTGATCTAAGACTAAATAGATTGTTAACAGATTTCTTCAAAGATATATCAGAAAAATAAATGTTTTCATACAGGCATATAGATACATTATCACGTCAACATTCTCCCAATAATTTTCACAAAACATTTAATCGAAACTTGAATTATTACGATTCTGTTAGATACAATTATTAGAAAAACTAAAAACTATTTTCATGACAGACATATACAGGGTGAGCCAATGGAAACTTTCCACCTCGATTTTTTTGGTTTAAAATAAAAATCCGGGAAAACGCTCGGACACGTCGACTTTTGATTTGAGGGGGAACTATTTTTCAGTTTTTTTCATCCCCGTAGCTTTAACCCCCTAGCTGGGGAGAGAACAACCCCCCAAATTTGAATAGGGAATAGGGGTCGTGCCGTACCTCTTTTTAAAGGTCTCGTCGAGTTCTTTATGACTCTACAATTTCGCCTCATTATTTTTTATCCATAACGAAATAACACCTTGTCAAAGTAAAAATAAATAAAAATACTTACTAATTTATTAATTAAGTCTACACGTGAACTTTATCTTTGACATTCTACAGTTATGCGTTCTTGTAGAAAGAGAAGCTGGCTGTGTTTTATAAACTGTAGACTTCAAATGGCCCCAAAGAAAGAAGTCTAGACAGGAAAGATCAGAGGACCTTGCAGGCCACTCAATAGATCCCTTACCTCTAAAATTTTCGTTGAGGAATTGCCAAAGGATAACTGCCGATATGGTGCAGAATGTTAGAGAAGAGATAGAGAATCGATTTTATTATGGCATGGATGTTAATGGCGGACATTTTGAACAGTTTGTTAGATAAAGTTCACGTGTATTACCTAATTAATAAATTAGTAAGTATTTTTATTTATTTTTATTTTGACAAGCTGTCATTTCGTTACGGATAAAAATAATGAAGCGAAATTGTAGGGTCATAAAGAACTCCTGAGACCTTTAAAAAGAGGTATGGCACGACTTCTATTCCCTATTCAAATTTGGGGGGTTGTTCTCTCCCCAGCTAGGGGGTTAAAGCTACGGGGATGAAAAAAACTGATAAATAGTTCCCCCTCAAATTAAAAGTCGACGTGTCCGAGCTTTTTTCCGGATTTTTATTTTAAACCAAAAAAATCGGAGTGGAAAGTTTCCATTGACCCACCCTGTATAGAAACTATACAGCAAAAATATTTGTTTTTTTTTTCAACAAAATTAGGTATTTCTTTTTTCTTTATTTTTTTAGGTATTTTATGAAAAAAATAAAAATTAGTGAAATAAACAACAAAATACAAAAACATATCAGTTTATATCACGCACTTTAATTAGTTGTTAACGTTTCGAAAATTTCTCTGTTTTCGTCATCTGAACTTACTTGACTTTTCGTTTTAGTTACTTCGACAGTTTAATTTTGTTTGCATTTGTCAGTTTCAAAAAATTTTATTTATAGCATACCTTGTGAATACAATAATCATTATGGTGGAGAGACTTCTCGATCTGTGAATATTAGAACAAAATGAATAGAAAAATTACATTAAATAAACGAGAATTTGAGAAATCACGCTTGGGAAACGGTCATAGTTTTCAATGGTAATCGGCTTACATTTTGGAAAAGAAAAATAATACCGCTAAAGGCAAATTAAAAGAGTCTGCGATTATGTTGTTGAATGGTGAAAGATGTGTCTGAAATTATGATATGAACTTGGATTCTTCTTGGCTACAAGTTGTAAAAGATGAATTAGGCAATAACAAAATATATATCACATGACATTTCTAGCTATGGAAACATTGAAAAAAAAAACAAATTTAAGCCGTCAAAGTAACTGAAACGAAAAGTTTAAAAAAGTTCAGAACACGAAAACGGAGATATTTTCGAAGCGTTAACAACTATTTAAGGCGCGTGATATACAGTGATGCGTTTTTGTATTTTGTATTTGTCTGGTTTTTTTCAATATGAGTTTTTTGGCTCGGCGAAACTATTTTCATAAAAATAATCCTTGATTGATTCTTTTGACACAAGGCAATAATTCTTAAATTTTTCAGAGGTGACAAAATACCCAAAAAGTAAAGAAAGATATTTTTGATTTCATTATCAAATTAAACACCATGGTTATCTTCGAATTTTTGAACAGCAGAAGGATATCCTTGGAAAAATTATACCTATACCTGCCTACATCAAGAATTTATTTCTTTTATTAGTAAAGATCCTATCTATTGCCTTTACAAACGTATCTCCTCTTAAACATACATGTTGGAGAAGCGTTATGTCAAAACTACTCTAAAAACCAACACTAGTATCAAAATCAACAGCTTTTATACACTTCCTTAAATTATGCAATTCTTAATCTAGCAAATAAATGTTAAAATGTTTAATAAATATAATGTTTAATAGAGGTTCTATAAAAATTAAATTACATATAAAATGATACAAATAAGCCTGTTAAATAAATATAAAATGTGGACGTGACTATGACTAATTTGGTAAATTTACGTTCCGGGGTGGGGAGAAAAGATTTTTAACAGGAAAGGGCATGGTGGTTTATTAACAACTTCAGTTTTGTCTTTTAAAAAAAATCCTTATTGGCAAAAGCAAATTAATACTTATTTACATATTTCTGTAATGCAATTTTGTAATATCAGATTTATTTTTAGTATTAAATATCAAATAATAAATTTCAGATATTTCAGTGCTTGGAAAATTGAAAGAAAGATGTAGATATTTTTTGTAAATATGAACTTACATAAATCATTTTTATTTATGCAGAAAAAAGGATGCGTAAAGAGCGATAGTGAAAGTATAAAACGATTTTATTTCGTCATATCGCTGCTTCCCTTTGATATTGGCATAACTCGAAATATGTATAATTTTACTGTATACGATTTTAAAAAATGTTACACAAGTAAAAATGTTATATAAAATTTTTGGTTTATTTACCTAAATGAAACCATCTTTTGCTTGTGCTTAAAAAGACCTAAATGAGTAGGTATATTGACGTATGTTATTAAAATCATAATACTAAACCCTTTTTTGTACTTGTGCCATTGTTTAAAAATAATATAATTGAATTTTACCTGCTATTGCGCCACTCTCAAAGCAAAGCAGCGATATATAAAATAGGATCTAATTTCAATATGAGCTTTGTTTAAGTATAATAGTAACAATCTTCGGTAGAAGCAAAAAATCAAAAAATTTGTTTAGATATGTAAGTAAATATTATTTCTAGCAATAATAAATTCCTCTTCCTGACTTTTAATTAAAATAAGTGAATAATATAGCACCTACCTATACTTACATATGAAATGGAAACTAGATAGGATTTATTAAATTGCTGCTTATTAGAAAAGATAATTTTTAGTAGCAAGCATGTAGTTTGAGATTAAAAACTATTAATTAATATTATCCATTGTTGGTTTTGAAACTTAAATAAATGAAGTGGGTTTTATTTTAATGAATTTGACATTTTCGTCTGATAAAATAGCTTCATTTTTAAATAAAAGATGATCCTAAAAATGGATATATAATTAATTTAATTTATACCAAATTAACACAATAATTTATTCATGTTGTTAATTTATGATATTTGAAAACTGTTATAAATAAATTTAAATTTGAATTACAAAATGATTTATATATAAAAACTATAGGTTGAATAATTAATATATTGTATATATTATAGACATATGTATTTTGTATATTTTCCAAATAAGTGTTACTATACAAAAAATTCGTATCTAATTAGGAAAACCTTTTACGTTTTATACACCCTTTACTAAAGTAAATATTCTAGATTTTAATTCTCCTAAATACACTATTAGGGACTACAAACGACCATGATTATTCAAAAATTTATTTTACAATTTTAAATTACATCTTTTCATATCGGTACAGAATAGATTTAACTATACATTTTCAATGTCCAATAACTTTCTACAAATATATCATAATATACAGAGTACGAAACGAACATACAATTTTGATTCAGCTATAACACGTCTGTACATTTTAATCTTATATATCAATTTATGTACACATTTACGAACTATTCTAAGTACTTAAAACTTATTAAACTAAGTTTTAATCTGCTTCTATACATAGTATAATAGTAACTATATTCAGTACACCTAACAGCTAAGCTAGATCTATTTAATAAATATTGCAACAGTCAATCACATTACAGTCGACTTCTTTGGTCTTTATGAGATGCTTTTTACATTAATACTACAACGAGAAGTCTCTAACATGGATACTTTCACCTGGTCCAGTCGTCGCTAGAAGAAAGCGGTGAAAACGCCGACACTTGATTGTGGATTCTTGTTAGAGTGATTTCCGGACTGCTGGAGGTCAGCTTTACTTCCGGTTTGGTCTTGCCCTCGTTCCCCATGATAGAGTCTATAGAAAAGCCGTTCTTACTCTTCTTCCCTATGTCTGTAGCCACGTACTCCTCCGTATCGGATATGGATGTGATGCTGGGGGGTTGTACTGGAACAGGTTTGCACAGTGTTGGTTGAGGAATAATTCCTAGATGGCTAAGACTTATCCTAGACAGATCCATAGGACTCAGTAGTGGCATATTACTCGGTAGATTCGTCGGAATAGGTATGTATGGATACGGACTGTGCATGGAATGGTTGAACAAACTGTGGTGGTAATTTTCCTGGCTGGACAGGAAGGAGGCGACCATCGCCGAAGCGTGGTGGTCGCGTAACATCAAATTCGGTGAAGGTCTCTTGTAGCGTTTTCTGCGTCTGAGAAAGCTACCATTGTCGAACATATCTTCAGCTAAGGGATCAAGAGTCCAATAGTTGCCTTTACCTGGATTTCCCGGTTCCCTTGGAATCTTTATAAAACAGTCGTTCAAAGACAAATTGTGTCTTATGGAGTTCTGCCAGGCAGGGAATTTTTCTCTGTAGTAGTGGAATCTTGTCATTATAAATTCACATATGCCGCTCAGGGTTAGTTTTTTATGTGGAGACTGAAGTATGGCCATGGTGATGAGCGCGATGTAGGAATATGGTGGCTTGATTAACTGATGCCCGGATTTCTTCGCGGGCTTTTCTTTGCCGTATTTGTCCTCGTGTTTGATGTCATGAGAATCGATCGAAGAACCTCTAAGGTCCAAAGGACTGTCCGGAACTGGACAGCGCTGATCCAGTAACTCGTTGGTCGTCAGATGACGACAGCCCTCTTCCATAGTTAGCATTGGAGCGCGCACAAGCTCACTGTACCATGCAACGAACTCAGTCTCAGACCACTTGGAATCTCGTTATCGTTTTTATAAATACTCTTTAAACAAACACGTACACGGTGCATGCGAGCGTGAGGCAGCGATGCGAGTAGCTCGTTATCAATTTCCGCAAGAGTTTTTAAAACTTCGGTTATCTCGGGATCGGCGATAAGCCTGGGGACACACCCGCCACCACACAAAAACCGTCGTCGTCGTCGAGCTCGCTGGCCGACTAGATCCGCAGCAGTCGCCTTCTGGAAATGTTATCCCAATATTATCTTGGCTAGAACAATGATGGTTCAAGCCACCACATTTCCGGCTGCGATGTGAGAAAACAAAGGCGGCCGCGGGGCGGGGAGGGGGTCGGGCCACGCCTCCTGCCCCTGGCCACGCCCGCTCACCCCCTGCCTTTCGGTTTGAGTTCGGATTTTCGCGTGCTGAAGTGGGATTGTTGTTCGGACTGAATGGCGATTGATTTTTTTTGGGTGAAACCGTGTTTTGGTGTGGGGGTTATTTCTAGCGCGTTCAGGGTTAGAGGAGAGAGTAGGTATGTTCTGCGGAGCGACGGCTAGTGATTTTCTGAATTGTGTATTATATAATACTTACATCTGATGCGATGCTATAGACACCTACGAGTAGAAGCTCAGATTTCTAGTTAAAACAGTAGTCAAAAAGTAGTTTAAATATTATATATATATATTTAAATTTACGTAAGTTTATATGTTTAAAAAAACTACTTTCAATATTTTTCAAAAGTGTCATAAAACATATTCCATTCCATAAAGAAACCAAAAAAGTTATACTGTAAACACGTATTTTTAAAAGGAATATTCTCATTGTTATTTCTACAATATCGATAGTGAAATTATAATAACTGTAAAAAATATCCATAACATTAAAATTGTACTATATATTTTTAAAGAACGTATACGTTTTTCGTTTTAATTTGTAAAATAATTCTAAATATATTTGAGTAACCTTTTATATCTGAAAAAATTAATATATTTTTGTTTAATTAAATTTCAAAAAGGAGATTTAACCATTTATAGATACTGAAACTTAGTTACAAATAGGTAGGTAGATAAGAAGCATTTTTTTACCAGTGTTAATATGAAGATGTCGGTACCTATTTAAAGTTTTGGCGAATGCGCCAATATTAAATCAAGTAGCAACTATTTTAAAGAGATATACACAAGGTAATTCAAAATTGAAAAAATATGCATATATTAATTATTATAAATTGACATTATACTATTGACTCAAAATTAGAATAGGCAAATAAATATGGACTCACTGTAAGCATCATAGATGTGACAATTTCACAGGACAAAATTGGAGTGTCTCACTAAAATAATATTAATGGCTTGAATTTACCCACAATTACGATAAAAAGCATTGATTTGATGTTTAATATAATAATTTAAGCTAAATCATATTTATTGGACATCTAAATCTTTCTAATAAAAAAGTCTGTAAAAGAAATTTGATTATTTTTAAATCATCTAAGGTTTATTCTTTCCAGAAATACAAACTGTGTGTCTACTAACCTATCATAGTTTAAAATTAGACATGATTGAGAAAATGCAAAAATCCAACAGGCACAAAGTATTACTAAAATAATATTAAATTAGTATATGTAGGTACATAATATTTTGTTCTTACCTCGTCTACCTAGATGAAATTAGTTAACAAGAAAAGCTAGTGATATAATTTGGAAATGCAGTCAACAATGGTAAGGGCTAAAATACTACAAACAATCCGTGTTTGTTTATACAGGGTGAGTCATTAATAATGATACACAGATTAATGGCAGATTGTTAACATCAAAATATAGTGATTGAGCCAAACATGCCTTAATCAATTGTTGCTCTACAGGGTGTTAAAGTTGAAAAAATATTTTCGATTTTTTGCTATATTTTAAGTATGTATGGACTGATTATTTTGAAAATTTGTAGTTTCACGTTTTTTTAGGTGACAAATACGAATATGCAAACAGTGTTGGAGTCACGTTTAGGAGGCGCTAGTTATATTGTCCTAACAATGTAAAAATATGCCTAACTTTGTATTTTACAATTTTTTAACTAGAAATTGTTGAACTGCGTTCAATTCTAAATAAAAAAGGTACACTTACTTGTAACAAATCGATAAACTCAATCGTTTTCGACATACAGACATTTTAAGTTTTTGAGATTCGGCGGGAATAAAATTAAAAATTATTTTTGCCAAAGTAGTAGGCATTGACATAATAAATTGACATCACATTATACCCGAGAAATAAGATAATTTATTAATAGAAATTTCCCACATCATTGGTAGCGAAGTACCTTGGCTTGCACGTAGCCCTGATTTAAATCAGCTGGATTTTTACTTTTGGAGCTATTTTAAATCTCTAGTTTACAAAGACATTATTACTAGTCAAGAATAACTGTGGACAAATATTTAAGAATCAGTTCATATTATCAAATAACATAGAACCGTATTTAACATCAGACAAAATTTAAATAAGTCGCTGGTGGTTGCTTTGAAAATCTTTTATGTTAAGATTTGCATAATAAAAATTTTAGTTGCTGTAGTGTTTATTTTAATTCTTAATTCAGGCTTGGTATTTTCCTGCTAATTTTCTAATTTATTTTCCGTCTAATCTTAAAAACTTAAAACGTCTGTATCTCGAAAACAGTTGATTTTATCGATTTGTAGAAAGTCTACTATTATTATTTGAAATTGAACGTAGTTAAGAAATTCAAATTTGTAAAATATAAAAAGTTAAACATATTTTTACATTGATAGGACAGTATAACTAGCGCCCCCTAGACGTGACCCCAATACTGGCATACTTACTATTCTATATGTGGTCATTCTGTTGACGAATTTATTTATTTAGGGACAAGCCCTTTTAGAGCAAAAACACAAAAACATAAAAGTAAAATGTGTATGCTACTTAAATCTAATTATTAATATGATTAAAGTAAATATACCACGATTTACAATAAAAACACAATAACAAACAAAAAGCCGATGACAATGACATTTATGAAAAAAGCATTTTTGACTTGTTATTTTTTACAGGTCTCTTGAACAATGGACAGAAGCAATTAAATAGATCTAATTTACTGTTCGTTAAATTAGCATTAGGCAGGATTCTAGTAATTGGTTCATTCTGTCCATAATTAGTATGGGAAAATGGAATACGAAAAATTTCTGAGTTTCTATTTTTTCTTTCAGTTACATTAAAATTCACTAAATTTAAAAGCTGCGACGATTGAATGTGGTCCCGTGAGTCTTTTATTTAGAAAAAGCAAATCAATATGTAAACGCCTATGTTCCAATGAAATTAAATTGAAATCGCTAAGAATTTAATATTCTCTTTGGTACCCCAGCTTATATGCACAATGTCTTAAAAATCTCTTTTGAACATTTTCAATCAAATTAATATGAGTATTTTACTTCAGACACCAGATAATACAACAATATTCTAAGATGGATCTGACTAAAGAACAATCCAATATTTTGATATTACGAACTGAGAAGTCAATCCCACCCAGTACGTTGAACAAATCCCAGCATCTTTAAAGATTTTGAAACAAATTCTCAATGTGAGTACAATAGGACACTTTACTATCCAAAATGACACTAATATCCCTCAATTGATTAACATCCTCTAATACCGTGTTATTCAATTTATAATGAAAACTCAAATCAGAGGGAGATCTCCTTAATGTTATCGTGAAGCATTTTTTAAATTTAGATGTAAAGCATTAAGGTTACACCAATTGAAACCTCCGATGAATCTTTAACAGTTCTAAATACTTCCAGACCACCAGCAAACATTAAAAATGAACTGTTCATTATTATATTCGATAAGAGGGAGATCTCCTTAATGTTATCTTGAAGCATGCATTTTTTGAATTTAGATGTAAAGCATTAAGGTTACACCAATTGAAGCCTCCGATGAATCTTTAACAGTTCTAAATACTTCCAAATCATCAGCAAACTGTTCATTATTATATTCGATAAGTCATTTACAAATAAATTAAAAAGAATTGGGCCTACATGGGAGCCCTGAGGAACCCCAGAGCCCAGGGGTAACATTGATAGCAGAAGAAGTGAAATTTCCATATTTAACACACTGCACTCTTTCTTTTAGATAACCATCAGCTCAATGTAAAATGTTCCCATTAAAACCCACTTCTTTATGTTTTTCAATGTCAAGATTGACACTATCAAAGGCTTTAGAGAAATCTGTGTAAATGGAGTCGACCTGAACTTTATTTTCTAATCATCTGATAATTTAATTATAAATTGTGTTAATAAGTAAATTTCTTTGTTAAATTTTAAATTCACTCAAAATTGAAGACCACAAAATTATTTCAATCATAAATAATCTTGAATTTACATATGTTGTGTTTTATTGTTTTACTGTATTTAGTTCCTAATATGAATTAAATGACCAAATTTTTAGAGACAGTTTGCTACTTGAATGATCATATTTATATTTTTAGTTCTAAAATCTTATTCAATTTGTGCGTCTTATTTGTCTCATTTGTCTAATCTGTATGTGGTTTCCAATCCTTTGAGGAATAAGCTCGTATTATATATTTTTAGTATGTATCAACATCAACCCAGGTATTATTTGTTAGTTTATACTACTCTTGTATTTTATAATGCAACGGATTTTCAAATGTGCAAAAATTGTTTTGCACTAATATTCGTTATTTGATTTTTGAATTGGATTTAATTTGCTTTTTAATGCTCAAAATATTATTTTAAAATGTTTTCCCAAAGTATTTACATATTGTTGCTTTTCATTATAACGCTTTACCTTATCCTCAATATTTCACTCTATTTCAGGGGATATTTTAGCGTTTTATTAAAAACATGCCCTGGTCAATCGGTTCTCATTACAAGGGAATTTGCACTATAGCTCTTCTACCATGAATGAAGCATTACAGGAAATTTTACAATTGTAACAGATTAAGTCGTGTTTTACATGATGTTCAAGATGGAAATATAATCATTATGACAAAAAAAGCACAATTATTAAATTCTTCCTTAGTATATAATATTAAATGGAACAAATACGCTAGTTGAAGAGTTGAGTAGTTCAATGAAGACTATTCTGTTATGTAATGTTATGATTTAGAAA